TTATTTCCCGAGCATAAGCAAAGAATACAATATAAGACATAATAATGATGAAATAAGAATTATAATATTCAGAACATTTTGTTTGATTGTGGTTTAATTAATAATTTTAGTTCTGTTTTGAGAAGACAAACTCATTCAAATCAAACTGATTTCTACGTGACATTCTTTAGATGTATAAACATAAATAAACACTTGAGCTTCAGATTGCTAAATTACCTAGTGCTGAAGGACAAGGGGTGTTATTTATGGCTCTGATTTTTACTTTGCAGCGGTTATCACAAAACGAAAATCGTAAAATGAAGTTTTATATATATTTTTTTTAAAGCTGGAGTTGTCGGCCAATTTTTTTTTGATGAAATTCGGAACCTCATTTTTTAGCTTTGCTTATATAGGCTCACTCAAAAAAATTAATGAAGCAGTTTTATATTTTTTTTAGAAATTGAATATTGTACCCGAAAATTTGACATTTAATGTTTGAAAATAGAAAACCTACGACTGAAATCTTACAAACAAACCGTCCTTTGTCCCGTACAAAAGCTTGATGACGTCATTTCAAAATTGTACTAGATAAAGTCCATCAAAAATTATTAATTGTCTAGATTCGTAGTTCATCACTGAATCCATATTTTTAAAACCGCTTTTACAAAATGTCACAAGAAATTATGAATGTAGCAATTTATTTTAAATTTGAAGGTGTCAACACAAAATTTTATTAATAAAATCTCACCTGAGACATATGGATTGCCTTTGATTTTCCGAGCCTACGATAAGGAATATGTATATACACAGTAGAACCTCGATAATCCGAATTAATTGGGGAAAAGGTGTGTTCAGATTAGCGATTTGTTCGGATCAGCAAATTTCCCAAAAATCTGAAAGGAAATTGAATAACAACTTCATACACTGGTGAAAACAAACTTCAAGAAATGAACCTTAATTTTTTTAAACAGAAATAAACTTAGAAAAGGATAATAGATACATTCGAAAAAATATTTTACTCCGTGACCATAAACACGCTAGCTTTTTGGAATCAACACGTCGGGATCTACATCCCTGATTTTTTTCACAATTTTTAGACAACTTTTTTAAAAGTGAAATTTTTTCAATGGTCCCCCTTTCTTCAGGTACGAGCCCCGCCCACCCGCCCTCTTTCCTTAGAGGGTATGTGATTTGCCAAAATCAGTTTTATCTTAGCAGGTACTTATAAATTAGAAAAATTAACGCTGTTGGGTTTTAAACAGTTTGTTTAAAGAAAAGAAAACGGGCCCATAATTTAAAACACGATTTCACGCGTAAATCGTTCCGACGCGGAGTTCAAATTAATTTCAGTTTTGGGATTTTTCAGTTTATTTATTATTCAATTTTTCGATTTCTCAATTTTCCGATGTTTGACTTCACTTTTTTGGCTTTTTGATCTCTCAATTTTTCAATTTTTTGATTTCTCAGTTTTTGGATACTTCAGTTTTGAGATTTTTCAATTTTTCGAAATTTCGGTTTTGAGATTTTTCAGATTATTGATTATTCAATTTTTCGATTTTACAATTTTTCGATTTTCGAATGTTTAAATTTTTAGACTTTTCAATTTTTGACTTTTCTTAATTCGCAATTTTTCGATTTTTCAGTTAATTTTCCCATTTCTTGACTTTCGACTGTTTCGATTTTCCAGTTCTTCAATTCTTCAATTTTCCGATTTTTTAAGGTTTCGTTTTTTGACTTCACTTTTTTTATTTTTCCGTTTCTCTTATTCAAATTTTTAATTTCTCAGTTTCTGAATATTTCAGTTTTTCTTTCATTTTATAATTTTTCAAAATTTCAGTTTTGGGATTTTTCAGTTTATTTATTATTCAATTTCTCGATTTCTCAATTTTCCGATGTTTCAATTTTACGTTTTTCCAATTTTTCTCCTCTTCAATGTTACGATTTTTAAATATTTCGATTTTTAACTTCACTTTTCTGACTTTCATTTCTCAATTTTTCAATTTTTTGATTTCGCGGATTTTGGATATTTCAATTTTGATATTTTTCAGTTTTTTATTCTTCAATTTTTCTTTCATTTTTTAATTTTTCGAAATTTCAGTTTTGGGGTTTTTCAGATTATTGAGTATTCAATTTTTGGGTTTTATAATTCTCGATTTTCAATTTTCCGATGTTTCAGTTTTACGTTTTTTCAATTTTTTTTCACTAGATTTTTCGATTTTTTAATTTTTGACTTTTCTAAATTCTCAATTTTGCGATTTTGCAGTTCATTTTCCAAGTTTTTGACTTTCAACTGTTTCGATTTTCCAGTTATTCAATTCTTCAATTTTTCGATTTTTCAGGCTTTTGATTTTTTAATTTTCCGATTTTTTAAGATTTCGATTTTTCGATTTCTCAGTTTTTCTATTTCTTAATTTCTCGGTTTTTGTATATTTTGGTTTTGGGATTTTTCACGTTTTCTTTCATATTTCAATTTTTCAAAATTTCAGTTTGTTTTGTTATTCAAATTTTCGATTTTGCTATTTTTCAATTTTTCAGTTTCACGATTTTTAATTTTTCGGTTTCTCAATTTTCCGATGTTTCAAAATCGTAAATTTCCAATTTTTCTCCTCTTCAATTTTACGATTTTTAAATATTTCGATTTTTGAGGGCACTTTTCTGACTTTAAATTCTCAATTTTTCAATTTTTTGATTTCTCAGTTTTTGGATATTTCAGTTTTGAGTTTTTTCATTTTTTTTTTATTCTTCAATTTTTCTTTCATTTTTTAATTTTTCGAAATTTCAGTTTTGGGATTTTTCAAATTATTGATTATTCATGATTTTACAATTTCTCGATTTTCAATTTTCCGATGTGTCAGTTAATTTTCCCATTTCTTGACTTACTACTGTTTCGATTTTCCAGTTCTTCATTTCTTCATTTTTTCTATTTTTTTGTTTTTTGATTTTTCAATTTTCCGATTTTTTAAGGTTTCGATTTTTGACTTCAATTTTTTAATTTCTCAGTTCATGTATATTTTGGTTTTGGGATTTTTCAGTTTTTCTTTCATTTTTAATTTTTTAAAATTTCAATTTTGGGATCTTTCACCTTGTTTATTAATCAATTTTTAGATTTTGCTATTTTTCAATTTCACGATTTTCAATTTTTTAATCCCTCAATTTTCCGATGTTTCAATGTTACATTTTTTCATTTTTTTTTTCTCCTCAATTTTACGATTTTTAAATAGTTCGATTTTTGACTTCACTTTTCTGACTTTGATTTCTCAATTTTTCAATTTTTTGGTTTCTCAGTTTTTGCATATTTCAGTTTTGAGATTTTTCATTTTTTTTATTCTTCAATTTTTCTTTCATTTTTTAATTTTTCGAAATTTCAGTTTTGGGATTTTTCAAATTATTGATTATTATTATTCACGATTTTACAATTTCTCGATTTTCAATTTTCCGATGTGTCAGTTAATTTTCCCATTTCTTGACTTTCCACTGGTTCGATTTTCCAGGTCTTCAATTCTTCAATTTTTCTATTTTTTGTTTTTTGATTTTTCAATTTTCCGATTTTTACGGTTTCGATTTTTTGACTTCAATTTTTTAATTTCTCAGTTCTTGTATATTTTAGTTTTGGGATTTTTCAGTTTTTCTTTCATTTTTCTATTTTTTAAAATTTCAGTTTTGGGATTTTTCAGTTTGTTTATTAATCAATTTTTCGATTTTGCTATTTTTCAATTTCACGATTTTCAATTTTTTCGACTCCTCAATTTTCCGATGTTTCAATTTTACGTTTTTCCAATTTTTCTCCTCTTCAATATTACGATTTTTAAATATTTCGATTTTTGACTTCACTTTTTTGTCTTTTTCATTTCTCAATCTTTCAGTTTTTATATTCTTCAGTTTTCTTTCATTTTTCAATTTTTCGAACTTTCAGTTTTGGAATTTTTCAGATTATTGATTATTCAATTTTTCGATTTTACAATTTTTTACTTTCTCGATTTTCAATTTTTCCTTTTTTCAATTTTTGAGTTTTCTAAATTCTCAATTTTTGCGATGTTTTTATTTTTCCACTTCTTGACTTTCGACTGTTTCGACTTTCCAGTTCTTCAATTTTTCAATTTTTCGATTTTTTAGGTTTCTAATTTTTCAATTTTCTAATTTTTTAAAGTTTGGATTTATCGACTTCACTTTTTTTATTGATCAGTTTTATCTTAACAGGTACTTGCCCCGCCCACCCGCCCTCTCTTTTCTTAGAGGATACCTCATTTGCCGAAATCACTCTTATGTTTTCTGATGTCATGGAAATTTTAACAATTTCTAAAAATTACCAATTTACTTGAAGTAATGCTGATGACATTTTTTTGTTCCTAGAAATTATTATGAAATAATCCGTTAAAACTATTGACCTGACTGGACTTGATCTGACTTGACTTTACTTGAGTTGATTTGACCTAACTTGACTCGACTCGACTCGACCTGACCTGACTTGACGTGACTTGTTCTGACCTGACTTGACTTGACCTTACTTGACTTAGCTTGACTACTGGACCTTAATATGTCGTGATTTCTTTGTTAAATTCAGAACAGTAATTTTTCAAGCCAATTTTTGCAGGTTTATCTTTAAATTTTCCTATTTTAAGTCCGATGTTACCTTAGGGACTCATAAGTCTGTAAACGCCTCTAGATTTGGTATATTATAAAAGGCACACATAATGTGTCTTTGTTTTTTAATTTCCTTGGTATATTTTATGATTTATATCTTTCATTTGGTTGTCACCACGGTTTTAAATACCATAGAACTATATTTATTTCACAGATTTTTTTAATTAAACAATGCAATAAGCTATAATGCGAGTTCTCGATTTTTTTTTTGTAGAAAATATTTGTCACATCTGTTAATATTTGAAATTTCAATATATATCACTAACTGCGTCCTAATTCTGTCTGAGCGAACCAATCCCGGAAATTTATTAACCCCGCTATATTTATCACCACCACAGTTGTTCCGAGAATTTCTTCACCGTTTTTCCTCTTCTTCGCAGGCGGAATAATCGAGCAGATTTGCGAGGAAACCGACGAAGAGGTCCTCCCGGACCGCACAACCCTGGTTCGCGCCGCAAGATGTCTTCTGGGAGCCATCACTCGAGTCCTACTTTTAGCCGACATCGTTGTGGTAAAGCAGCTGCTTCTGGCAAAAGACAAGGTACCTCAAACCGCCCGTTTCTCCCAAACTCCTCATTGAATAAACTATCTCCTGTGCCAGGTCTCGCATAGCTTAGATCGTTTAGAATCCGTCAACAATTTCACGGAATTCGTGAAGGCGTTCAGTCAATTCGGCGCGGAAATGGTCGAATTAGCCCATTTAACCGGTGACAGGCAGAACGACTTGAAGGATGAGCGAAGGAGGGCACAGATGGCCGCAGCCAGGCAGGTTTTGGAAAGATCGACGATGATGTTACTCACTTCGAGTAAGGTGAGTGATATGGCGATTTATTTGAGGATTTAGAGAGGCTGTGATTGATTAGGCGGCGGGAGGGAAACTGACAATATTTTAGCAAGTTCGGTATTTACAAAAGGGTTTAGTTGTTCAGTTTCGGAACATAGGTGAAAAGTTCATTGAATTTGCGACTCGTCTACGAATTCGTTTGTCATCGCTTTCAGATTTGTAGAACTCTAATAAACATTTTGTGTTTGTTGAGTGTATTGAAATTCCGACTAGTGCCAAGCTAAAATTTTCCTTCGAAGTAGAGAATTTGATTGATTGCTAGCCCTTAACTTGGCAAAACGAGAAGAGGCAATAAGAAAAAATATGGAAACAGTTGAAAATTGCGAGAACGGTTTGTTGAATCTTTTTGAAATCTCAAGTCCTATTTTCTGCAATTTTTTCAGATTTTATACTTCATTTCCAAATAATTTACAAAATATTCGGGAACTAACAATACTCCGATTTAATGATCGTAAATAGTAAATACATTGTTGTGAAAGCTTTTGAAAAATTTAAATAAAAGATTACATTACTGAAAAAAGATCAAATTAACATTTAAAAAACAATAATTTTACAATAGATGTTCCAAGTGTTCTCCATTTACTTCCTGGCAATAGTAAATACGTTGCTTCAGTCAGCATGTCAAATTTATTCCCTACTGATAATACTTTAAATATGTCATTTCTGCTTGAAGATTAAAATTATAAATTCGAAAAACTAACCCTGTGTTGGGTTTTAAACAATTTGTTTAAAGAAAAGAAAACGGGCCTATAATTTACAACACGATTTCAGGCGTAAATCGTTCCGACGCGGAAATCAAATTAATTTCAGTTTCAATTTTCCGATGTTTCAGTTTTACGTGTTTCCAATTTTGCTCCTCTTCAATTTTACGATTTTTAAATATTTTGATTTTTGACTTCACTTTTCTGACTTTTTGATTTCTCAATGTTTCAATTTTTCGAAATTTCGGTTTTGGGATTTTTTAGATTATTGATTATTCAATTTTTAGATTTTACAATTATTCGATTTCTCAATTTTCCGATGTTTCAATTTTACGTTTTTCCAATTTTTTTCTTCTTCAATTTTACAATTTTTAAATATTTCGATTTTTGATTTCACTTTTCTGACTTTGATTTCTCAATTTATCAGTTTTTTTTATTCTTCAATTTTTCTTTCATTTTTTAATTTTTCGAAATTTCAGTTTTGGGATTTTTCAGATTATTGATTATTCAATTTTTCGATTTTATAATTTCTCGATTTTCAATTTTACGATATTTCGATTTTGCGATTTTTCAATTTTGACTTTTCTAAATTGCCAATTTTTCGATTTTTCAGTTCATTTTCCCATTTTTTGGTTTTCAACTGTTTCGATTTTCCAGTTATTCAATTCTTCAATTTTTCGATTTTTCAGGCTTTTGATTTTTCAATTTTCCGATTTTTTAAGATTTCAATTTTTTAATTTCTCGGTTTTTGTATATTTTGGATTTGGGACTTTTCACTTTTTCTTTCATTTTTCAATTTTCCAAAATTTCAGTTTGTTTTATTATCCATTTTTTCGATTTTGCTATTTTTCAATTTTTCGTTGTTTCAATTTTACGTTTTTCCAATTTTTCTCCTCTTCCAGTTTTACGATTTTTAAATAATTCCATTTTTGACTTCGCTTTTTTGTCTTTTTCAGTTTTTTCATTCTTGAGTTTTTTTTCATTTTTAAAATTTTTCTAACTTTCAGTTTTGGGATTTTTCAGATTATTTAATTTTTCGATTTTCAATTAATCGATGTTTTGATTTTTCCATTTCTTGACTTTCAACTGTTTGGATTTTCGAGTTCTTCAATTCTTCAATTTTTCGATTTTTTAGGTTTTTGATTTTTCAATTTTCCGATTTTTTAAGGTTTCGATTTTTCGACTTCACTTTTTTGATTTTTTGATTTCTCAGTTATTCAATTTCTTAATTTATCAGTTTTTGGGCATTTCAGTTTTGGAATTTTTCAGTTTTTCTTTTATTTTTCAATTTTTGAAAATTTCAGTTTTGGGATTTTTCAGTTTATTCATTATTCAATTTTTCGATTTTACAATTTTTCAATTTCTTGATTTCTCAATTTTCCGATGTTTCAATTTTACGTTTTTCCAATTTTTCTCCTCTACAATTTTACGATTTTTAGATATTTCGATTTTTCAATTTTTGACTTTTCTAAATTCTCAATTTTTCGGTTTTTCAATTAATCGATGTTCTGATTTTTCCTTTTCTTGACTTTCAACTGTTGCGGTTTTCCAGTTCTTCAGTTCTTCAATTTTTCGATTTTTTAGGTTTCGATTTTTCGACCTCACTTTTTTGATTTTTCAATTTCTCAATTTTTAGTTTTTTAATTTCTCAGTTTTTTGATTTTCAGTTCTTTGAAATTTCAAATCTTTCAATTCCTCGAGTTTTTCGAATGATCGATTTTTTAATTTTTAATTTTTTCAATTTTTGATTTTTCAATGTTGTTATTTAAATAAATAAATAAATAAATAAATAAATAAAGTTTATTGCCCAACAGAACTACACATTCCAGTTACAGGACAATTATAAAGAATATAAAAACAATGACAACAATTCAGAATCAAAGAAAATAACAAATTAATAAATTAAATGCATAAATAATCAAAGATCTCAATATAATAAAACATAAGAACAGTAACTTAACTTAAATAAAATTAAAATAGAAATAAATGAATGAATGAATAAATTAAAGCCGAAATAAATACCTACATTTATCTGCAATATCAAAAATCAAACACACAATCTGTAAATCTAGGCATATACATCAAGAAATAAATAACTTAAATTAAAATACAACAGTATGAAAACCATATCTGAAAGTAAAGTGTAAACTACTTAAGCTTAATTCTAACAGTGTCTTTTATAGACTTAAGGCTAGTGTTAAAAATGTCAAAATCGGAATTCATTTCTATTTCTTTTAAAAAATAGCTTATTAGATATATCGGTGCTTTTCTCCCAAAATTAGTTCTAGCAATGCTAGTGTATAGTGTTACAGAATGCCTGCTGCTAGTTCTAGGTACCAGAAAGGACAAAGAATTAGTTAAGGCCCTGCAATCAATTTGATTATTTAATAATTTATATAAAAAGACGATAACGCCAGTAACACGTCTACAAAATAATGAACTCATATCAAATTTTTCTAGTAGAGCTGTTTGCGGATAATTTCTCGTTGGCCATGTTTTCTGTTCCTTAAAATAGAGGTACTTTAAAAATCTGCGCTGTATGTTCTCAAGGCATACTACTTGATAGTTGTAATAAGGAAACCAAGCTAACGCACAGTATTCTAATTTAGAGCGCACCAAAGCATAGAACAAAGTTTTCAAAGCTTGAATGCTAGTGAAATCTTTGCAGTTTCTAATAAGGAACCCTAGTGATCTTTTAGCTTGTGAAGTAATGCTCTCCACATGTTCTGCAAAACTGAACTTATTATCATACAAAACACCTAAATCCAAAATGGAAGAGCATTTCTGTAAGCTGTGATGATTGATTTTGTAATCAAAGTCGCATACATTAAGCTTGTGTGTGAACGAAATAATAAAGGATTTATTCTCATTTAAAGGTAAAAAGTTGAGCAATGACCAAGAAACCAAATTATTTATGTCTTTTTGAAGAAGCAAGGAGTCACTATTACCACTAATTTCACGGTATATTTTAATATCATCTGCGAAAATGAGAACTTTTGAGTAGCGAATACAATCTAGCACATCGTTAATAAATAATGTGAATAGCAAAGGACCAAGAGTGGAGCCCTGCGGCACTCCAGCAGCTGTGATGTAACTGTTGGACTTAAATCCATTTACTACCACAAAATTGTTGCGCTTAGTCAAATAAGATTCAAAAAGATTTGTGAGAGAATTAGAGAAACCAATATTCGACAGCTTTCTTAATAAGAGCTGGTGGTTGACTCTGTCAAAGGCCTTTGAAAAATCACCATACATCACGTCCAATTGACCTCTGTTATCCAAAGCCTGAGATATATCTTGGGAATAGCAAGTTAAATTCGTTAAAGTGGATCTGCCCATGGTAAACCCATGTTGGCCCTCATTTACTAACAACTTAGTTTGGAAGGAGATCTGATTAAAAAGAATACGTTCAAATATTTTTGAAAAATTGCACAGCAACGAAATAGGTCTATAATTGCTCACTGCTGAAACATCACCACTCTTGAAAATGGGCACAATCTTGGCGGTTTTCCACTTATCCGGAAAGCATGAAGTTTTTAAAATTATATTAAAGATATGCATTAGGGGCTTAACGAAAACATTAGAACAGTCTTTAACCAGAAAACTGGGAACTTGATCATCTCCAGCAACTTGACTATCCTTAAGTAATTTTATTGCCCTGCTTACATCATCTTCAGAAATAACCACATTAATGCAACTATTACTAATACCTGTAAGCTGACTTGAATGAGCAAAACTATTCAATGAAGGATTATGAAAAGACGAAGAAAAGAATTTAGCAAAGCAATTAACAATATCAGCTGGGTTATCATGAAAATTATGGTTAAGGTGAACTTTATTGGGAATATTGGAGCGCCCCTTTTTTTCTTTGATATACGACCAGAAGTATTTAGGATCACGCAGTAAAGCATGCTGAACATTTTTAATGTAGTTATTAAAATCCCGACGCAAGAGTTGTTTAACAATACGACGTAAAGAACTGAAGTGATTTCGAAGATGACAGGAAGGCTTTCGTTTGATTTCTCTAAACACTTTATGCTTCAGAATGATTTGTTGTCTAAGTTCAGTAGTATACCAACTCGGGAAACTGAATTTGGAACATTTAAACAATGGTACATGTTTATCAAACAATGAGTACAATATTCTGTATAACGTCTCACAGGCACTATTCACATTAGTGGACTCATACAGGACATCCCAATTAGTGGTTAATAGACCATTATATAAAGAAACATAGTCCGCCTTTTTAAAGTTATAAGTTTTTACATCTGTACACATAGACAAATTTTCGTAGGTACCAGTTTTTAAAACCAAATTAATATTAAGCGCAGGATGGTGTCGATCTTCTGGCACAATAGGACAGGTGTCCTGTTCAACCAAACATTTGCCGTAATTGGTAAAAACTAAGTCCAGTAATACCTTATTACAGTTACGAATATTGTTATACTGTGTAAGGTTCAAAAAAGACATCATATTAAATACTAAATTAGATTTTGAATCCTTTACATTATTCGAAAAAGTAGGAGCATTGAAGTCACCAATTATAAGAATATTATCTAATTCAACAGCAATATTTTCAAAACATTCTAAAAATAATTCATATTCTTGAATGGACACATCCGGAGGAATATATATCACAAAAATAAATAAAGAACTACGTCCACAACATAACTTACAAGCAACTATATCAATAAGATGAAAAGCGTCGAAAACTGATAAATCAACACTCGACACAGGAAATTTGTCACTAACTGCTAAGACCACCCCTCCACCTCTTTGCCGATTACTACATGTAAAATTACGATCGGCACGAAACACACAATAACTAGATGGCATAAATTCACAATTACTGATTGATGAGTCAAGCCATGACTCAGTTAAACAAATGACATCATAATCCGAAACATTTAAACAAAAAAATACCTCATTAACTCTCGACCTAATGCTGCGAACATTTTGGTAATAAATAGGTAGATAATCATTACCACAACTGTTGGGCCGGTTTAGTTTAAAGTAACATTCGTCGCTCTCTTCATGATGGAGTTTCTTCAAATTAACTCCGTCCCTGCATTTTTTCCTAAAAAATTCTTCTTTGGAAAATTAAACCGTCTTACACACACACCTTGTGGCCAAAAATCTTCACGTAATAAATTGTCCTTCAGACTAAAGTTTACACCAACTTTAAAGGCATCATATGTTCCCTGCAGCTTAAGATTTTCGACTATGACCTCATCAGTGGACAACTTTTTGGTTATATAAGCTTTGACACTACTAGTCTCAATGTTTTTGACAACTTTTCCGACGTAGAACCATGCTCTTTTAACGTAAGTAGAACGAAATTCACCATCATCTTCTTGCTTCGAAGTTCCAGTTATAGTGGGTACTTGTTTTCTACGATTGCTTCGATTTCTTCTTAGTTCCATCCACGGATTTTCCACTTTGTCATGAAAATTTATTTCGTCGTCCCTACTCACACGAAATTCATCTGTTTGTTTATTGGTAACAGTAGTTGACTCCTTTTTTTGAATTTTCTTTCCACGATTTCTTGCACTGTTCTTGTTATCGTTATCGGTGCTTCTCTCACCTTCAGTGAAAGGTTTATTCAAGTTCACATCAACTTTATCACGAAAATTCGGAAAATGTAATGACTGACTTGGCTTATCAATTGATTGTGTAACGACTGACGACCATTTAGGAACTGTAGATTTTATTTCTTGAGAAGAAAAGAGCTTTGGAGCAAGACTGGGGTTGCTTTGTGTCATTAATTTAATCAAGTCCACATTAGTTTCTTTTAAATCTCGAACTTCCATACGCAACAACTCAATTTCATGCATTAATTTTCAATATCTTCATGGGAAAATTCAAATATTTGCGACTTGTTACTTGCATTATCCACACTTTCACCATTATCGCAACAGATTATTTGCGCATCACCTAGGTACTGCACATTTTTTAATAATTTCACACAGCTGGGATGACTGAGCGAATTGCACTTAACACATTTAAGCCCTGTCACGGGTATAATTTTACATTTCTTACACGCATCCCCAGAGGGATTGTTGGAAACGTCCGCACTCTCCGGACGCATAGCGCAGAATATTATTTATTATTTCTCGATTTATCGAGATTCGGATGCTTCGATACTTTCATTGTTCAGTTCTCAATTTTTTGTTTTGACCTATTTCGGTTTCTCAGTTTTCCCATTTTTCCGTTTTTTCGTTTTTTCCCGGTTTTAGATTTTACGAATTTCGAATTTTTTAACTTTTCGATTTTTCGATTTTGGCCTATTTCGACTTCTCGATTTCTCGATCTTTTGTTTTTTTCGATATCTCGGGTTTTCGATTTTTTACTTTTCGATTTTTCTGTTATACGATTTTTCTTTTATACGATTTTTTAGATTTTGGATTTCCAAATTTTTCATTTTTTCGATTTTTTGATGTTTGGATTTTTCGATTTTCCGTTCTTCGATATTTCTATATTTCAATTTTTCAATTTTTTAAATTATACATTTTTCCATTTTTAAAATTTTTCGATTTTTCATACAATGTATCGAAAATAAACACAAAAATTTGTCACTAAAATCGAAAAATAAAAAAAACAAAAAACTCAAAAATCGAAGAACTGAAAAGTCGCAAAATCGAAACAGCGAAAATTGGAAATTTGAAAAATTGAAAAATCTAACGTTTAAAAATAGAGAAATCGAAAATTCCAGAATTTAAAAATTTTAAAATTAAAAAATCAAAAAACTGAGACATCGAGATATTAAAAAATTCCAAACTGAAATAAAAAATGTGAAATCTAAAAATTGAAAAATTGAAACACCGAAAACTAGAAAATCGAAAAATATATAACTTGAAAAGCCGGAAAGTCGAAAAATTGAAAAACCGCAAAATCAGAACATCGAGAAATTGAAAAACTGAAACATCGAAAAATCGAGAAATGGAAAATTCGAGGCGTTGAAAATTCGGTAAATCGAAAAGTTGAAAATGATGACTTGAAAATTAAAAATGACAAAAAATTAACACATTTTAACATAAAAAAAATCGGTAAATTGAAGATCTCTAAAACTGATACGACGCAAAATTGGGAAATTGAAAAACTGGAAAACTAAAAAAAAATCGAACGCTATTAATCGAAAAGCCGAAAATCGAAAACTCGAAAAAAACGAGAAATCAAAAAATCGAAACATTCAAAAATTGAAAAACTGAAACGTGGAGAAATGAGATTTAATTAAATTATACATTTCTCAATTTGTCAATTTTTCGGTTTTACGATTTTTTTATGCTTCGATTTCTTGACTCGATTTTTAAAATTTTTCGATTTTTCAAATTTATTTTCGATTATTTTAATTTTTCATTTGTTTTCTCAGTGTTAATTTCATACAATGTATCGAAAATAAACACAAAAATTTGTCACTAAAATCGAAAAATAAAAAATCAAAAAACTCAAAAAATCGAAGAACTGAAAAGTCGCAAAATCGAAACAGCGAAAATTGGAAATTCGAAGAATTGAAAAATGTAACATTTAAAAATAGAGAAATCGAAAATTCCAGAATTTAAAAATTTAAAAATTGAAAAATCAAGAAACTGAGACATGAAGATATTAAAAAATTCCAAACTGAAATAAAAAAAAAATGTGAAATCTAAAAATTAAAAAATCGAAACACCGAAAAGCTAGAAAATCGAAAAATATAAAACTTGAAAAGCCGGAAAGTCGAAAAATTGAAAAACCGCGAAATCAGAACATCGAGAAATTGAAAAACTGAAACTTCGAAAAATCGAGAAATGGAAAATTCGAGAGGTCGAAAAATCGGGAAATCTAAAAGTTGAAAATCATAACTTGAACATTAAAAATTACAAAAAATTAACAAATTTTAAGATAAAACAATCGATAAATTGAAGATCTCTAAAACTGACAAAAATTGGAAAAAAACTAAAAAAAAATCGAAAAAATCGGAACAACCAAAAATTGAAAAATGGAAACGTCGAGAAATTGAAATTTATTTAAATTATACCTTTCTCAATTTTTCACTTTTTCGGTTTTATGATTTTTTTATGTTTCGATCTCAGTGTTAATATCATACAATGTATCGAAAATAAACACAGAAATTTGTCACAAAAAACATTTAAAAATCCATAGAAAGTAGGACACAGTGTTTCCAAAACATAAAAATAACAACAAACCCAAAATGCAAGTATTATTTTGTTAATATACTCAAACATTAAGCACAATTAATAAAAAAATATGTGTTAAATGAAACATACAGTAAAACATAATGTAACAAGTTAGGAGCAAAAAAAAAAATTCGGTTAATGTATGTCATAAGTTAAAGGGTAGACACGTAAGGCAAACTAACGACGTGTTCCTTGATATCCCCCATCGAATTTTTTCTGTTTGCAGACATGCTTGAGGCACCCCGACTGCAGCTCATCGAGGGAGAATCGCGATACGGTCTTTTGTCAAATGAGAAGAGCGATGGATCTGATACATTTCGTCGTGAAAGATGGCGTTTTAAATTCGAGCGAGACGTCTTGTCGGACCACTCATGGGGAGGAATTAGAGAGCGACCGAGGGAGCGCCTACGCCTGCATGCGGCATCTGCAACATCTACTGGAGCTGAATAAAGTTACAATGGGTAATAATAGCTCGGAAGAGAGGATTATTGTGCGCGTTGTGCTCTGAGAAATGTCGTTTGCGAAATTTTCGTGTCGTTTTCTCGCGCTCGGGTTTGACGTATTTTGTCCGTTTGCCGGAATGGCTGCAGATGCTTGCAAAGAAAGTTTGTGCGTGGAGTAAACGAGTGTGGAATGTGTCGGATGAAGGGTGAATGTGACGTTGTTAAATTTGTTAAGTGTGAGGAGAGAGTTTACTAAGGGTTTTTTGCGGTGTGGTGATAACGTGGAGTAACTTGCGATTTGTTGTAGATCATTCCTGTCAAGAAACTCTTCCAGCTGCTCTAGAAGCTGTCTTAGAAAGAACTCAGGATTTCACTGATAGTGCCTATACTAGCCATGAACATAGAGAAGCCATTCTAGAAAGTAGTGAAAGACTAAAGACGGAAGTTGATCATCTTTTAGGGCTTTACGCTAATATAGTGAGTACAAAGTTTTGACTTTTTTATTGCACATTTATATTTGTTTCGTTCATTACCTTGTTCAATCAATAACATGTTTTGTGGTTTACGAATCTACCTTGATTTTGAAATGTAAGAACACAGTAATGTCGCGCCCGTCTATATTAAATAATAAGAAAATAATAATTTTCATAATAAAAACTCGCCCAAAATTATATAGATTATCCATTCATGATCTTTATATATTTTTTTTATTATTCACTTTTTCGAATTTTAAGTTTTTCAATTTTTAATCTTTCGATTTTTCAAATTTTCGTTTCTTCAAATTTTCAAGTTTTCATCATAAACTTTTTCGTTTTTTTATTTTTGATTTTTCAATTTTGCAGTCTCTTGACTTCTAAATTTTTCAATTTTTCGATTCGCAATTTTTTAATTTTGCAATTTTTCGATTTTACATTTTCTTATTTTTTGATTTTTCACATTCTCAGTTTTTAATTTTTGTCATTTTCAATTTTTCGTTTCCTCAATTTTTCAAGTTCTCGATTTTTATTTTTCATTTTCCCAATTTTTTTAATTTTCATTTTCTCTCTCTTTTTTTCAATTCCTTTATTTTTTGTTGTATCTTTCGATTTGTCAATTTTTCGTTTCCACAATTTTTCATGTTCCCGATTTTTATTTTTCAATGTGGCGAATTTTTAATTTTTATTTTCTCCATTTATATCACAATTGTCCGTTTCTTCGTTTCCTTTATTTTCTGTGTTTTTGTTTCGATTTCACAATTTTTCATTTGTTCAAATTTTCAAATTTTCAGGCTTTGAATTTTCAGTTCGTCCATTTTTCAATTTTAAAATTTTTCACTTTGCAGTTTTTGGATTTGCAGTCTTCCGATTTTCCAATTTCTTTAATTTTAAATATTTCTATTTCATAATACATATTTCTTTTTTTTTGATTTTTCACTTTTTCGATTCTTAAGATTTTTCAAGTTTTCATTTTGTACTTTTTGGTTTTTTATTTTTGATTTTCCAATTTTACAATTTGTCGACTTCCAAATTTTCCAATTTTTCAATATTACAATTTCTCATTTTTCCATTTTTCACATTTTTAATTGTGCCCTTTTTCAATTTTCCGTCCCCTCAATTTTTCAACTCCCCGATTTTTATTTTGCATTTTCCTGATTTTTTATTTTTCATTTTCTCGATTTTATATCACAATTTTTTGTTTTTTCATTTCCTTAATTTTTGTTGTTTCTTTCGATTTTCCAATTTTTCGTTTCTTCAGTTTTTCAAATTTTCAGGCCAATCGATTCCAATTCGTCGATTTTCCAATTTTCAAATTTTTCAGTTTTGGGTTTCCACCCCTTTTTTACTTTTTGGATTTTCAATTTTTCGTTAAACTTTAGATTTCTCAAATTTTCGACAGTTTTATACTTCGATTTCTTAATTGTTTTTCAACTTTTCGATGTTTTAATTTTTCTTTTTAAAAATTTTTCATTTTTTTTTATTTCTCGATTTATGGAATTCAGATGTTTGGATGTTTTGATTGCTCAATTTCTCATTTTTTTTCTTTTTCTCGATGTTTCGATTTTTGAATTTTCCGATTTTTCAATTTTTCCAATTTTTCAGTTATCCGATTTTTCAATTTTTTTAAATTCTGGAGTTGCGATTTGTCAATTTATCAGTTTTTCGCTTTTTAAGTTTTAGATTTTCGAATTTTTCTTTTTTGATTCTTTGATGTTTGGATTTTTCAATTTTGTGATGTTTCAATTGTTCGATGTTTTCAATTTTGGATTTTTCGATTTCTGGATTTTTTTATTTTCCAGTTCTTCAGTATTTCTATTTTACAGTTTTTCAAATTTTGACATTGCTAAATTTTCAGTTTTCCGATTTTTCGATTAATATATATATTTTTTATTTTACCGTTTCTCGAATTCGCAGTTTCGATTTTTCAGTTCTTCAATTCTTCAGTTTTTCGTTCTTTACACTCTAGATTTTTCAATTTTCGACTTTTATATATATTTTAATTTGTGAATTTTTCGAGTTTTCAATTTTTTGAGAACTCGATTTATCGAGATTCGGATGTTTCGATGTTTTGATTGTATCAGTTTTTGAATTTTTCGATGTTTCGATTTTTCGATTTATCGGCTTTTCGTTTTTTTTTACTTTTCGCCATTTCGATTTTTGAATTTTCCGATTTTTCATTTTCCAAATTTTTAAATTTTCAAGTTTTGACGTTTCTAAATGTTCAGTTTTTTGATTTCTCAATTAATCTATTTTTTGGTTTTCCCATTTTGGACTTGCCAAGGTTTCGATTTTTCTGTTTTTCAGTTCCTCAATTTTTCATGTTCCCGATTTTTATTTTTCAGTGTGGCGAATTTTTAATTTTTGTTTTCTCGATTTATATCACAATTGTCCGTTTCTTCATTTCCTTTATTTTTTGTGTTTTTTTTTCGATTTTACAATTTTTCATTTGTTCAATTTTTCTAATTTTCAGGGTTTGAATTTTCAGTTCCTCCATTTTTCAATTTTTAAATTTTTCACTTTGCAGTTTTTGGATTTGCAGTCTTCCGATTTTCCAATTTCTTTAATTTTAAATATTTCTATTTCATAATACATATTTCTTTTTTTTTTTGATTTTTCACTTTTTCGATTGTTAAGATTTTTCAAGTTTTCATTTTGTAATTTTTCGTTTTTTGTTTTTGATTTTTTAATTTTACAATTTCTCGACTTACAAAGTTTTCAATTTTTCGTTCCTTCAATTTTTCGGTTTGCATCAGTTTTTCAATTTGGCAATTTTTCAATATTACAAATTTTCATTTTTCGATTTTTCAGTTTCTCAATTTTTCATTTTTCTCTTTTTCAATTTTAGATCACAATTTTCCTTTTTTTGATTTACTTTATTTTGTGTTGTTTCGTTTTAATTTTTCAAATTTTCAGGCCAATCGATTCCAATTCGTCGATTTTCCAATTTTTAAATTTTTCAGTTTGCAGTTTTTGGGTTTCCACCCCTTTTTTACTTTTTGGATTTTCAATTTTTCGTTAAACTTTAGATTTCTCAAATTTTCGACAGTTTTATACTTCGATTTCTTAATTTTTTTTCAACTTTTCGATGTTTTAATTTTTCTTTTTAAAAATGATTAATTTTTTTTTATTTCTCGATTTATCGAATTCAGATGTTTTGATGTTTTGATTGCTCAGTTTCTCAACTTTTTTCTTTTTCTCGATATTTCGATTTTTGAATTTCTCGGTTTTTCGATTTTCCAATTTTTCGATGTTTCAATTTTTCAGTTATCCGATTTTTCAATTTTTTTAAATTCTGGAGTTTCGATTTGTCAATTTTGTAATATTTCAATTGTTCAGTGTTTTCAATTTTAGATTTTTCAGTTTCTGGTTTTTTGGATTTTCCAGTTCTTCAGTATTTCTATTTTACAGTTTTTCAAATTTTAACATTGCTAAATTTTCAGTTTTCCGATTTTTCGATTAACATATATTTTTTTTTATTTAACCGTTTCTCGAATTCGCAGATTGGATTTTTCAGTTCTTCAATTCTTCAGTTTTTCGTTTTTTACACTTTAGATTTTTCAATTTTCGACTGTTTTATATATATTTCGATTTGTGAATTTTGCGTGGTTTTCAATTTTTTGAGAACTCGATTTATCGAGATTCGGATGTTTCTATGTTTTGATTGTCTCAGTTTTTGAATTTTTCGATGTTTCGATTTTTCGATTTATCGGTTTTTCGTTTACATCCCTTACTTTTCGGCATTTCGATTTTTGAATTTTCCGATTTTTCAATTTTCCAAATTTTTAGATTTTCAAGTTTTGACATTTCTAAATTTTCAGTTTTCCGTTTTCTCAATTAATCTATATTTTTTGGTTTTTTAATTTTCCCGATTTTTGTAGTTTTCATTTTCTCGATTTTGACACAAATTTTCATTTTTTCAATTCCTTTATTTTTTATTGTTTCTTTCGTTTTTTCAATTTTTCGTTTCTTCACTTTTTCGAATTTTCAGTTTCTCAATTTTTCGTTTCCACAATTTTTCATGTTTCCGATTTTTATTTTTCAGTGTGGCGAATTTTTAATTTTTATTTTCTCGATTTATATCACAATTGTCCGTTTCTTCATTTCCTTTATTTTCTGTGTTTTTTTTCGATTTTCCAATTTTTCATTTGTTCAATTTTTCAAATTTTCAGGCTTTGAATTTTCAGTCCGTCCATTTTTCAACTTTTAAATTTTCACTTTGCGGTTTTTGGATTTGCAGTCTTCCGATTTTCCAATTTCTTTAATTTTAAATATTTCTATTTCATAATACATATTTCTTTTTTTTTTGATTTTTCACTTTTTCCATTCTTAAGATTTTTCAAGTTTTCATTTTGTAATTTTTCGTTTTTTATTCTTGATTTTTCAATTTCACAATTTCTCGACTTCCAAAATTTTCAATTTTTCGGTTTGCATCAGTTTTTCAATTTGGCAATTTTTCAATATTACAGATTTTCATTTTTCGATTTTTCAGTTTCTCAATTTTTAATTTTTTCCTTTTCCAATTTTTTGTTTCCGATTTTTTATTTTTCATTTTCCCCCGATTTTAGATCACAATTTTCCTTTTCTTGATTTCCTTTATTTTTTGTTGTTTCTTTCGATTTTACAATTTTTCCTTTATTAATTTTTTCAAATTTTCAGGTTTTTAGCAATTTTTCTTCAAATGTTCAAGTTTGATTTTCACTTTGTACACTTTGTACGTTTTAATTATACACTTTTTCGTTTTTTTATTTTTGATTTTTCAATTTTCCAATTTGTCGACTTCCAAATTTTCCAATTTTTCAATATATATATTCTCGATTTTTAATTGTGCCCTTTTTCAATTTTCCGTCCCCTCAATTTTTCAACTCCCCAATTTTTATTTTGCATTTTCCTGATTTTTTATTTTTCATTTTCTCGATTTTATATCAGAATTTTTTGTTTTTTCATTTCCTTAATTTTTGTTGTTTTCTTTCGATTTTCTAATTTTTCGTTTATTCAATTTTT